TGCAGAAGTTGATACAAAAAAAGACACAAAAAAGAAAAGAAAAGAAGTCCATGCTTTGCCATAGGCAGCTAAGCCTTTAAACATGCATGTGAGTGGATCTGCTTCTGTCCTCAACAAAACACCCTAAACTTCAAGAAGAACCATTTTCCCAGAAAGCTCTCCTGAAAAAAAGTTCACTGGAACAAGCAACAAGCATTTGGCATTTGAATATCCTCTCACACACATCCTAATTCTCTTTTCCACACACTCTTGGTTGGTGCAGCCTATGGCAGAGCCTGAGCGATATGTGCCACAGTGTAAATTAATAGTCCTCCACTAGGTTTGATTTGGCTGCATGGTTCTGCATCATGAGCACGAGTTGTGCACACATAATGCACTCAGTTAGCAAATTAGCTGACGTGTGCCCACCCACCCACCCCCCCTTGCCTCACATGTAATCTGGGTCTCTGTCTCTTCTCTCAGGGGTTCGATGACCAGCCTGGAGTCGAGCCACAGCGGCTTCTCTCAGCTCAGCGCCGCCACCACCTCCTCCAGCCAATCGCAGTCCAGCTCTATGATCTCCAGGTAGAGAACGGAAGCAGAGGACTTCAATCCCCCCACTGCCTTTACCATCAACACTGAAGCCAACTCTTCTCCTGTCCCCCCCTCCTCCTACTCCTCCTCCTTGTCTTTGGACTCTGTTCCTAATGCACAGCCAGTCTGTATGGAACTGAAGCATGCTTGCACAAACAGAAGACAAAGAATTAAACAAATCTGAGGCAAAAAGAAAAAAAAACAGACTGTGTACAATTTAAAGGGCTGATTTTTTGCACAATGGTCATATATTTCCCGTGTCTGGCATCTCTGCCAGGCAGCAGTTTGAATCATCAAACATTAGCGGAATGTTTGTTTGCATCATGTCGTGTGCAGGGTGGAAAGGTTAAAGGTCGAGAGCTGGGTTGAGGTGTCTTTGCGACACTGGAAGCTGAAAGAAGCAATATTCTCATTCTGGGAGCGACGGGACCGGATGACGACACTGGAGGCCACTGTTACATTTATGCATTTACATGTACATCCACATAAACTGTACTGAGGCGACGCATACCTCATTCATGTGCGTTGGCTAAAAAGACTACATGTACTGTTACATACAACAAAACACCACCAACACAAAAACATACACATGGACATTTAATGACTTGCAAAAATTTAAAGTGTTTGCCATATTGTTACCAGAGAGGTTTGTTCGATCTGGTGAACTGTTTATAGGTCAAGTGGGCGGGTGGGGGAAAATCTTCAGACCAGGGTCGAATATCGCCTGCAATTTCTTTTTTTCTTTTTCTTTTTTCTTTCAACTGTATGGAATTAACGGAGTGGGTGGAGCTCACTGAATCATGACAGTGCAGATGGTGTCAGCAAAGTTGCCAGTTGACAGGAAGATAGAGATGCGTTCCTGTGGCTGTGTGAGCTTTTTGGCATTCATGTTGTTGTCTTATGTGGCAAAGCCCACCTGTCTGTCTCACGAGGGCTTTATCACACCTTGAAAAGCATTTGACTATTTGACCTGGGTCTGACTCTTGGCGAAGTAATCCGCTAGAAGCAATAACACAAGTTTGACTTTCTACTGTTTGAAATATTTCTATTTATCATTCAGATGTATATGGAAGATCATGGGTGCTGATTGCAGATGACTATTTTGTTGTGTACAGGCAGACAAGTCAAACTGAGCCAGTAAACCGCTAAACTCTGTGGCATCAACATTATCACTGATAGTCTCCGTTACCATTATGGCAGGAGAGACACAAAAATAACTGGTCAGAGTTTCTGCTGGGCAGTTTATTATCCTCTTACATTGAAAACTTCAGTAATCATTACCTGGAATGACCACACTTAGTTTGCTTTATGTCCAGCGTCTGCACGATTGAGGACCTCGAGTCAAAATCAAGTCATCAAGGACATGCCTTGTCACTGATTTGTGAATGTGCTACTGATTGGTTAGCACTCGCTAACCAATGAAATACCTGAATTTGGAGGGTTGTGGTGTAATTGGGCAGAACTGCCACCATTGTCTACTTCTTTTTCAGAGTGATGTCGATTTCAGTGTGCATTGGGGATGAATGTTACTTTGTGATTATCATTTGATGGCGCGCCAGTAGACAACATATTGAAACTGTACATGTGCTAGTGTTGGTTGGAGTTTGTTACTGTTTTTCAGAGATGAGTACTTGATGGGGTGAAGCAGTGTGGTGTGTTGCTGCATGCTCACGTGGTGATTGGGTTTACAGATTTATTATTTAAAAATTTTAAAAGATAGCCATTCTAAGAGCCATGTGTCAATAAATACCATTTTAGCCTTTGTAAGCATTACTTAGAAACGTACCTGCTTTTTTCAAGGTCACCACTGTAATAGATGAGCGATTGTGAATTGAATGAACATTTCTAAATGCAACACATCCATGCAACAGTTTTTTGTTTTGTTTTTTAATACAGTTTATTTGGTTAATAAGCATTGATGACTTCACATAGATCGGACTCCCTGTAGAGGGCAGAAATGATCACCATTGCCAAGAGTCATCGGGTGCTGTTGCCATGGTAAACGAGTGCAGCTGCCAGCAAAAAGAAACAAAATAAATGAAAAAAACACAGATAGGACGGAGGCTTTCTCCTGTAATTACTGGCCCTGCCTGTTGTTGTTTTTTTGATACATGAAACTGCTTGTTTTTAACTGTAAATGAAAGGTCAAGGGTTAACATGTGGTAACTATTTGTCATTAACTGCAATAACATGAAATGCTTTATTGAGAAAAAGGACCTCCTCAGATTGAGGGATATTAGGTGTGTATGATGGTGTAAAAGAATGAATGTTAGGAACAGTGGCATAAAAGAATTGCCTGTAAAATGTGTGTAAACACTCTCTCTGACCCTTAGGGCAGGTGTGTTTCTCTACTCTACTAGAACCACACAACTAACCTTTCTTCACCTGGTTATTTATTTCTCCAGTAGACTTGATTTCCTTTTCTTCAATGGTTCAACTGATGAAACAACAAACAGCATCACTTCAGACCTAACTACTCTTATACTTCCTTTTCTCTTTCTATCTACTCTTTATCACTTGTACACTCCGGTTTTGCGGTTTTGCTTTCAAACACTTCATTGTGTATATCTTAGAAAGCAGAGTGGACCTTTGATTGAAGCCATAGGCATAAACACTGACCACTTTTCATCAAGATCTCATTGACAAATGAGGGCTATAACTGTTCGTCTTGACTGGTCAACACATTTGTCTGTGTCCCTGCTTCCTTTTCCGACATCGTTGCATATCTTCTCTTTACCTTGATGTGAGAAATTATGTAAAATGTACATGTTTGGATTAATGAGAATATGGCGCCTTTACATGTTTTGAAAACATTAAACTTGAATTATCAAAAAATACATGCGCTTGTGTCAAATTCATTCATGTTTTTACCTGTGACTTTGCTAGTTTTCATTATGTGATCATGAAGTAGGGTACATGTTATCTTTCAAAACATTGTATGCAAACATTGAATGACCGCTAAAAGTAACACTGCACCATTTACCAAATTTGGAATCTTATATTTTGCGTTGTTTAATGAGACATATTGACATAAATTGGTCAATGTGTCCCACATTTTGTAACCACTATGCCACCGGCTGCATTAATTTTTTTTTATGACTTGATGACAATCTTCAGGTTTGCACATCAATAATGATCAGTCCCCACTGACCTCAGGTCAATTCAGGTCAAATCAGTGTTACTGTATGTAGATTGAAAAAAAGCATACCTGGTAATTTTCTAAAATGCAAATCAAAGGATGGAGAAGGACCAAAAGTAAGACTAAGGTTCTTGGCTGATAAACAGTAAGAAATACTATTATCTGATTAATAACCTGCTTTTAAAGAATTTAGAAGCAGGAAGTTTTGTAATATCCGTTTTTTTCAGCAGCCTTGAATTGCCTATTATTGTTGCAATTATGAATATCATCAGTTTAGTTGAAATTTATTCCATAACTATGTATTGGCCAAGAGGTGAGTTAAAAAGAAGAGTGGAGGACAGAAAACATACCCTGAGGTACACTGTATTACAGACATAATTAAGACGAAATATACCATGAAAATTTAACAGGTAAATTAAGTTTGTTGTAGTTTCTATGCTGTAGAAATGTAGTATTTGTTTTATCCTGCTGGTTTATACGCACATGTATTTGCACATTTGCACATATCTATCACAGATACATCATCTATGTATCTATCATACTGTTCCATTAGACCTGTCTGGGTTTTATCTTTAGGAGCTTGTTGCATCATGATTAGCCAGTATCCTGTCTCCTCTGCTGGATTATTCTCATCAGCGGACATGTCAGTCTTGGTCCAGAATTGGTGCAGAATTCCTGTCTTGTTGCCAGGTAACTTTGGTAATCTCAGCATCCTCACCATTCACGTCATTTTCCTTTTTAAAAATGTTAATTTTGATTTTCAACTCTTTGTGCTTAATTTGAAAAGACTGTAGATGATTCAGTTGAGATTTTATTTGCAGTGGAGTCAAGTGTAACATGTTCCATTGGTTCCATTTTTTTGGCTGAAGCAGTATTATTATCTGTCTGTCCATGTTATCATCAGTCAGTGTCATCTGTCTATTATGACAAATTGCAGCGATCACTTATTTCTGTATATCCATGAAAGTTTCTCTATAACTCATGTTCTTGTTATCACAGATCAACCCAATGATCATATTTTGGAGTCTTACTGGGACTGACACTACTCCTGATCCAGATGACATCTTCCCCTTTTTTTAAATTAAAAATAATTAAATAAAAATAAATAAATAAATAAATAAATAAATAAACTATACAGCGAGCTGTCTGTCAAAACTGTCCGTTAGTTTTGCTTATCGGTGTAATTTGCCCTTTGAACCACTAGATGACAGTATTTACCCTCATAACACCACAATGACAACAAGCGCAGGCCCCGCCTTCCCAGTGACGTCAGTACACGGAAGCAAAACAGCCTGTTTGGACTTCACGTTGCTTGTTTCAATTGAATTTCACTTGAAAAATAATCTTTCTGCGCTGAGAGCGTCTTCTCCACCAGGCCGACACTGATGTCTGCTCCCCCCGCAGAGGATCTGGTCAAACAATGGGAAAGGTCAGACGCTATTCTGTCGTTTATAGACCTCAACTTTATTCAGTAAACTACACACAGCACAGTTACTATCAATGGCACTTGTTTTCTACAGTGTAGTCCCTTGTTATCATTGGCTAATTTCAAACAGGAGCTTGTTATAAAACAAACCAGGGTCCGTAAGGCGCTGACGGATGTTACTACAAAATAAAATGTGTTTGTGACCCTGTGGCCCTGTTGTAACTCTGCCAGCAGCTCTGGACCTGCGCCACCACTCCAGCAGCCATTGATTTGTGAGTTTGTAATGACAAGGCCACTGATAACACCGTGATTCTCTATTATGTCCTCATGCCGCCTGCTATCTCCACCTCAGATTTGTTTGTGTTTGTGTGTGTGTGTGTGTGTGTGTGTGTGTGTGTGTGTGTGTGTGTGTGTGTCCACAGCAGCTGAGAGAGGTATCATCAGTGTGTGAGCTTAGTTTATTTTACAGGTTTTGTCACCAACAATCTCAAAGTCTACTTCATAATCCCTGGTCTCAGAGTGAAGTGGTCTAAGGTTTCTTTTGCATGGAAGAAACCTTACACCTAAAACCTACTGTAAGAAAGTTTTAGCAAGAGTCTTTTTTACTCTTTATTAATTCTTTGAATCTTTAATCATATCTTCTGCAAATTGGTTCTCTACATTAGAGTGTAGAACCAGGTATCTAATTTTGATGAATATAGTATTAAATGCTTTATGTATCAGTTAATTTATTTAATTCTTTAGTCTAAAAACAGCCATAAGTAAAAAAAACAAAACAAAAAACAAAATCAGTAAAAACCCAATATGTGTAACATCCTCCTCATGTCGTTATACCCACAAATTCCCAAAAATATTACAGAGGACATGACCTCGGTGTCATGAGTGGTAGCTACAGTGTTGTTTTTTGTAATGAAAATCTACATGTAGTGTTTTTTCAGTGGACAATAATCACAGATCTGCAAATCTGCCCTGCTGTTGACTTTTGTATATAGCATCAAATCACAACAGAAGTTATACCAGGGCACTTTTCATAGAGAGCAGGTCTAGAACGAACTCTTCATAATACTGATTACAGAAACCCTACAGTTCCCACCATGAGTCACATACAGTCACATAACCAGACTCCACAGCTCTGAAGACAGAAAGGCCTGCAGAGAGCAAACAGGACGAGAGAGACAACAAAGCACAGAACTACGAGAGAGAGAGAGAGAGTGATGAAAAGAGAGGACAAGAAGAGGAAAAAAAAGAGAGAGGGAGAGACAGAGACAGGGACGAGAGAGAGCGGCACTCAGCCTGGGCAGCCATGTGCTTGAGGGTGTAAACAAACAGTGATGCAGTGGTTTTCATAAAGTTAACAGTAACCATGTTGGCAGCACCACATGGACTATACTGTATGTACTTGGTGTAACTGATTCATTGAGACCGAGGCCGACCCGCCGGTGCTGGAATGGTAACAGGTAAAAAGCCTGAAATAGTAGAAGAATAAATTGCTAACTGAAAGTTAAGGCACAAAATACAGTTTTAAATTTCAGTTTGAAGGCCTGGACAGAGTCATGTCAGCAGGGAGATTATTCCAGAGGAAGGAGGCCTTATAGGAAAAGGGTCTGCAGCCAGCACACGTCTTTTTAACTCTGCGGTCAGACAGGAGCTCTGTGTTTTGAGAACGCAGAGAACGGGATGGGATATATGGTTTAAGGAAATCGGACAGGTATGAAGGGGCCTGCCCATTTATGATTTGTATGTCATAAGAAGCACCTTAATGTCTGATCTGACAATGATAGGGAGTCAATGAAGGGAAGCTAAACTTAGTGTAATGAGGTCAAAATTTGTAGATATAGTTAAAATTGCTGCTGCAGCATTCTGAACCATTTGAAGACTTTTAGTGCAATACTTTTAGAACACGTAGCAGGCCTGAAAACGAAACTTTACAATAATCCTGTCTGGTTGACACAAAGGTGTGAATTAGGATTTCAGCATCTGCCATAGACATAAAAAACAGAATTGTAGCTCTGTTACGTAGGTGAAAAAAAGTAATCTCAATGATATCTTTAATGTGCTGTTCAAACGAGAGGGTCAGAATATATGTGACACGCAGATTCTTGGCTGTCAACCCATGAGAAATCACACAGTTGTCGAGGGTTACTGTGTCTATTTCGGGCCAGTGACCAGTATCTCAGTTTTATCTGAATTTAGGAGCAGAAAACACACCTCTAACTTAATTCAAGAGGAGTTGTCAGCCCGCATAGGCGCATGCAGCTGGGTATCGTCAGTGAAAATTACTTCCATGAGGTGTCTTCAACCAAGTGAGAGACAACAAATTGGTTTTCCAATCGATCTCGGAGTATGCAGTGATCTATGGTATTGAAAGTGGAACTGAGATCGAGTAAGAGAAGCACAGAGGCAGAAGATCATTTGCCACTTAAGTAAGTGCCAAGGGGTATATTGTAGAATGTGTGTAAATTTGTACGTGCTTGTGTCCAGTGGCTGCACAATACTACAATTACTGGTCTTTGTGCAGTGAGCAGGCCCGTCTGAGACAGCAGGTGGTGGAGGAGGACACTGAGGACTGGCAGATAAGTCCAGACTTCTCAGGCCTGGAGAGAGTTGGTGGAGTGGACCTCTCCTTCATCAAAGGGGACGACATCAATGCCTGCGCCCAGCTTGTGGTACTCAGCTACCCCGACCTCGAGGTGAGCTATTACCTCACTGCCACCTGTAATTAAAAATGAACTAAGAGCTTTATTGACCTTTAGTGGTGACAGTGGAAACAGCAGCATCGTCATTTTAATTTGGCCATGGTCTGAGCAGAACAGGGGGATCAACAATATAGAATCAAGACAAATGTTCTTTCCATAACAGGTAGTAAGTATTAAGACATAGAAATGCCAATTAGACTCTAATAGTAAATCTCCCCTACAATAACATGAAGGAATTATGAAATATGAAATAATGGGAAAGAAGTTGTTTGTCAAACAAAACCAAAAAAAAAATCCCCCTTTATCTTCATCTGTAAACTCAAAATAGACTTTAGAATTGGTATTGGTTCATTTTATAAAACTATCCTCTAATCACTTAACTTGTGCCTCCTTTGACAGGTGCAATAGATTTTAATATTCTATGCCAATAAAGTGGTGGATGTCTAAAATAGATTAAATTGTCAACCTAAGCACTAAGTGGACTTGTCAAGTATAGAAAGCGATGTCGATTCACAGCAGAGCTGTGGTTTAATCTAAAAAACAGCTCAAGGTTGAGTCTTGTTAGAGCGGCTGTTGTCATAGTGACCTTGGCAGTCCCAATTTTCATTTCGTTTACTTCTCTGTGTAGCCTTTCACAAGCACTTCTCTTTCCTGCTGTTTATCTGTGCATTAACAAGGGCTGCTGGCACCCTGTTATTATATAACCCATTGTAATTAATGACATTTGTCAGTGCACGTTGTTGATACATGGACCCAACAAGGCTAATGAAATGTTGCTCAGAAATGCTGCCCAATAATGTGATTATGTTCCCTGCTTGCTTTCAGTTTACTCGAACACTGCCACCTAAGGCCATTTGTGACACAAAGTAATACTGGTAACATGATGCACATTTAGTTTGAGTGTCACTGCTACTGACGTCTTACAGAAAAAAGGCAAAAGTAGGGTCAAACAGAAGCTTATCATTTTTTAAAGTGTGAATTGTAATAAATATATTTTAAATGTGAACAGCCCTAGTTATAGAAATTCTTGGCGACAATACTTTCCCACATAAGAGGCAATATTTTACCACTGCTATTTAGTAGAGAGGGATGAAGGTCACAGCTGTCAAAAATACAACACTGACATATCCCTGAAAACCTTCACCTGAAAGGTAGTTAACATTTCTGATAGCTGAGTCTATTCAGAAAACATCCATGGGTCAAGACTCTGTGGGCTTGTTGCTTTGCACAGTCGAGATCTTATGCATGTTTTATTTGTAGCCACTGCTCGAAGCCTTGACAAAAGATGTTTGTGTCTAATGTTACATCATCTGAGACCGTGGAGTGTCCTTTCGCTGTGAGCACAAAAAGATTTTTCAAGCTGGTCAGAAAGTAGTTCAGCAACTTGAGCACAAGAATGCTGCAGCTTCTGGTCTCCTGAACCCTGTTAATACTCAGTGAGATACTGCAATGAGAAGGTCATCATGGGAGATGTGTTTACCTGTGCTGGTGCACACCTAAAATAGATAAAAATGTTATGTAAAATGTGCATGCAGCCTGTCAATGTGTATTAACTGTTAAAAACATTACTGTATAATTTCAGTAAAGCCAAGGAAAATTTAATTGTTTTAGGAATCCAGTTCATGAATCCAGGGAGAGTTTAAAATCTCCATTTAAGACACTTTATAACATTGGTTTTCATATTTAGAAAAAAGGAAACTGTTAACTCTTGTCATCATCTTACAAAATGCATGTACATATTCACAAACAGCAGGGCTGTGGACTGTGGTGCATTTGGCAGAGCAGACGAGCAGTAAACAGATGATATGTGAGATATTAAGGCTATATCAAAAACATGTGGCTCAGAAATTACAATACAAACACAGGAACAAGGACGAACATACAAGAACATACCTAGTCAGTGTTTAGTGTATTTGAGTATTTAAATAAACAAGAAAAATTTTTAAATGGCAATAAATTTAGTGATAAGTACATACAGTAATGGCTTGTTTAGTATTTGAAACACACGACTTGCAAAGACTTCATAGCCAAGACTTAAGCCTCACTTGTGACTTGCGAAACAATTACTTTGTCCCACCTCTGTTGACTTCTACTATGCTCACAAATAGTATAATAGACATTTTGATTGCACATATGACTAGGGCTGTCACGATATCAGATTTTAACAACATGATTATCGTGACCAAGAGTCCAAAGTAACAATATTATTGCATTATCAATAAAAAATTTGAAAAACAAGTGCTATCAGTCAAATTCAACTTTATCTTTGTTTATTTTCTGTTTTTTCTATTTTTTGGCAAATAAATTAGACTTAAATTTGTGTGTAGGGTGCGGTGGAGAAAGCGTATATAACCATAACACTTACACTTAATGGAGGAAGTCAGATGAACTGATGAACTAAAGATCCACAAGGCCTATCATCTGCCATCATTTGTGTATTATTAACACAATATCAATATTTCATTTTTTAAATATTGTTATCTTCAATACCGGTATATTGTGACACCCCTGCTTACAACGCTACATGGATTATGCTGGCATTTGTTCTGTCTGTAGCTTGTAAAACCACGAGTACAACATACCAATGGACAGAGTCTTGTCAAACTGCCATTTGGATTATAAGATTTGAAAATGGAACTAGTATTTTTGTTGATCTACTTTTAGTTGAAAATAATCTGCTAAGAATTTTTAAATGTGTTGTTAATATCTTTTGTTTCTGAAAGGAAAACGATGGAGATAGATCTCAGAAATGCTCATTTAGCCCTAAAGCCTCTCAGTGGGCGGGCCACTATATGTGTTTGATTGACAGCTGAGCGAGCAGCGGCATTGGTCACACAATGTAATCAAATTCGTGCTGGCTAACTGTAGCTAAGGACAGACAGTGTTTTGTAGGCAGCAATGGTGATGAATGATAACGACCACACCCTTTAGCATCAGTGAAACTCTACACTGACTGATGTTGACATTTGCAGGTTAGCTTTCACACTGTTCAATGTGCTTCACTGGATAGCAAGCAAAGATGCCACTTGAGACGTGTGTGTGCTTGTAGATGAGATATTTATGCTGCAGCACACAAAAACCATGCAATTTAATCTCAGTTCAACATTAAAGCTGGATAACCTTAATTTGACAGTGTCCACTTCTGGACACAGGAGGTAATCTAAATATATTAACTTTGTCTGATGTTCAGAATATGTTCACGGCCTTTAATCAAGTAACAGATGTTTCATTTTGTGCCAGATGGGGGATGTTAGTGACCATCTTAAACAGCTTGTGTATGCGTCTGTGGACTTGCCCTTACACATACACTGGGGTGCACGCATTTGTCCAAAGCATGCAGCCCCTGAAGCCAAACACTGTCACTGCCTGAGCTCCATTCAGGAACACACATTTTTGTATTCAAACTCAGTGCTGTCATTACAGTGAATTGACACAGTTATTAAGGGTTTTTACTCATGTGTGGTTTACAGGACACAGATGGATGTGGATGGACATGTGTAGAAATACAATTTTTTCATCAGCCACTGTACTGCCCTGAAAAAAAAAAGTCATAAACAAAACCCTGTGTTTCTGTCCCCTCCTGCCAGGTGCTGTATGAGGACAGTCAGATGGTGACCCTGACAGCCCCTTACATTGCTGGCTTCTTGGCCTTCAGAGAAACACCTTTCCTCCTGGAGGCTCTGCAGCGGCTTCAGAGGAACCAGCCCACACTTCTCCCTCAGGTCAGCTTCTGCACACATACATAAGTGGAGTGGAGTGGAGCCAACCGTAGCAGTGGCTGGAAAACTGATTACACATGTAATGTGGATTAAAATGTGACTTAATTGGAATAGTTCAAAATTTTGTAGAATCCATGTATTTGCTTTTTTCCCAAGAGTGAGATGAGAAGAATGATACTCTCATTTCTGTGAGTAAGCCTGACTTAGCATAAAGACTGGAGGCATATGGCTCAGAAATGCTGCAGTTAAAATCTATACCTAACTAATTAACATGCTATCTCAGTTGATTAATCTGTGCACAAACCTAAATGTAAAAAATGACAATTTGTACTTACAGACGTATCTGGCGACCTGTGTTATAGCCGGAGAAGCTGCACAGACGTACTGGGTCTGCTAAATTGCTAGCTAAACTGTTGGCTACATGACGTAACACTTCTAATACTAACTAATCATTGTTTTTACATTTCTTTTTTGTAAGGGTTACGCAAACAAGATCCGTTTTAGTAGTGTTGGCATATTTTTTCATTTTGGATATAGCCAGGCTGGTTGACCCCAGCTCCTGTCTTATGCTAAGTCATTATTAACTGTGGTACCACAGGAAAAGCCTTGTTGTGTACTGTACATGAAGGCAGGGTTCCATTGTCAGACTGAAATCGATGTAGGTGTACTTAATTTTTAGTGTACGCTGGACCTAGACTCAGTTGTGCTTTGTTCTTAATGCTAAAGGAAGCCTGCTAACATGCTTACACGTTAGAATTTGTATTAGTAGAACTAACGCACTAACTGCAAGTATGCTAACGTTAAATGCTAAATTGAGTATTTGAAGCTTGCAATGCTAGTATTAATCTTAAATTAATTTTGCTCATTCATTCTTGAGGTATCTGGGATAGACTGAGGAGACGAGTGAGTGGACATTTTGGACTTTGAGTTATAGGTTAGTTACACAGTGAACAAGTCTGATAACTTATCGACATTATTGTTTGTTTTAATGGTGTAAACCTTGCCTTACTTCAGGCGCATGTAAACACACTGAATGAATTGTAGTTACTGTGACAAAGCTCCTCTGTTCTATGTCCCACTGTTTCTCAAAAGTGAAGTTTACAAAGAAGTGCTTTGGCACGGCTGGCTGAGCGGAGCTATCCATGGTACTGAAATGGTGTTTATAATTCTGGCATCTAGACAAGGCATGGGAGTGAAAATGTCATGCTAGATACTATGAATTAAAGTTTTAAAAAATGAACGAAAATTTTCCTGAAAACGCAGTGTTTAAGTTCTGAAATTGTTTTATTAAAACTCATAATTATCCTGTAAATGTTACTTTAAGAGCTTCATAGTCTGTATAGACCCACTGTGCTTCGTGATTTATTTTCATGAATAAAAATGGTTCAAAAGCACTCAGGTGTGTGTGTTTGTGTGTGCGTGTGTGTGTGTGTGTGTAGGAACACACTTGCAGCCCCCACCCCCACACACACACAAACACACACACACACACACACACACACACACACACACACACACACACACACACACACACATTCAGTTTCACTTCAACTGCAGTCCCTTTATCTGAAACCTTTGAAGTGAATTTTTCCTGTGACTTACGATTCACTGCAGGAAAAATGTCTGCAGAGTCCTCTTCAATGTCAAGAATTCATTAGTGTGTTGGAACTAGAAGAGTTAGAGAATCAGTTTGAGGATCGTGTTTAACTTTTGAAGCTCAGGGTGAATGCTATCTCACTCTACATCTGCTACATCTGGCATTGTATCAGTCATAGTCGTGACCAACTTCAGCTTCAGACATTTTAACTTGTCATATCAGGGGGAGCGCAGGTGGGACTAACAACATTAACAATGCCCCTGCTCCACAGCCATCGTCAACATTATTCATCAACATTATTCATCACCATTATTCATTACCCCTGTGCTTTTCCTGCTATGACGTGTCAAAGTGTCTGCTGTACAAAGACCTGAAGTGTGGCACAACAGCTCAGGCCAGAGCTCACAGGGCTTTAGAAATACATATGTTACTTCCCCTTTGTGATGTTTTAAAAATGAACACGTAACAGCTTTTGTGCTATAGATAAATTAATTTAATCTGTGTATGTGTTGTGTTTCCTGCCCTGTAGGTGGTGTTTGTAGATGGGAACGGTCTCTTCCACTACAGAGGTAAGTAAAGCTGGTCTATACTGACCTAAATGTTTATTAATCTGCAGCTGGTTCAAAACAAATGCACTAATGACTTTTGTTTGATTAATGCTTTTTAAAAACCACAAGCCCCATGAATTAATAGGCCCATTTATTTTTGAACAAATGAAACTATAACTGCCCTGTGATGTCATTTGATTAAATCAGCTTGTTGAGCAAGAGATCAATTAAGAGTTAAGATTTCAAGGTGAGCCCAACAAGTTGTGTAGGTCAGTGGATACAGTTTGCCAGCTGTCTTGGTGTTCACCAGAGGTGCACAGTCTAGTATCAGGTGGGTTGAACTGTAGCCTGCCTGGACTCAAATCTATTTTATATCAGTGCTGACTCCTTGTTTTTGTTCCTGTCACTGTTTGGCCCCCGCAGAGTTCGGCCTGGCGTGTCATCTGGGAGTGCTGTCAGGGCTGCCGTGTGTGGGTGTGGCCAAGAACCTGCTGCAGGTGCAGGGGGTGTACAAGAGTGAGGAGCACCAGTCACAGGTGAGACAGTCACTTCTTTGATGTTAGGGCGTTTACACACCTAAAGCTTTTTTGCTCTGGTCCAGTTGAGATGATGAGTTTGTAAACTTGTAGCATTTTCCCCTTGGTTTGGTTTGCTTTCACACAGAGAAAAATTCAATCGAACCAAAATGCATCATTACAAACCCCGTGAGAACGTTCACTCCTCTTACTGGTCAGATTGTTTGGCTGGAGCAGGAAAGTAAACACAGGAAGAAGGTTACGGGAACCATCTAGCTCAAACCTGTGAGTTCACCTGCTAGTGGGCTCGGATCCAGTTCAGAACTCTTTCACAGCAAAAGCAAACACTCCAGAGTTCGTTTGGGACCGGATCAAGACCACCTCCTCAGAAGGGTCTTGGCGCGATTGTTTTGGTCTGCACCTGAGTGAGATTACTGTTTTCACACAAAGGAATCGTACCAAAGGGGAAAACGAACCAGGGTTTGGTTTAATTTGACTAAATAGTGCAGGTGTGGAAGCAGCCTTAAACTACCCTTTGACCTGACTTGAACTAGCGCCTCCGCACTGGTAAAAGTTGTGGTCGTAGTCATTATGTTTTCGGGTTGTCTGTTCGTCCTATTCTTGTGAACGCGATATCTCAGCAACACCTTGAGGGCATATCTTTAAATTAGGGGCAAACATTAACTTGCTCTAAAGGATAAACTGATTAGATTTTGGTGGTCAGAGGTCAAAGGTCAAGGTCACTGTGTGTGATGTTGAAAAGCTGTTGTGCTGCTGAGTGTTTCTTTCAGATGTGTACAAAAGCCTCTCCTGTAAGAGTCGCCAACCTTGACAAGAGTCAGTAGATTAATTATTTAAGTTTCTAAAGTGTAATCACTTTTTCCTGTTGTGTTTATTGCTCAGTGTTCTTAAAAAAACAAAGAAATGTCAGAAAGGGACGAGGCAAAGGACAGAATCCTCAATTGCTTTTTTAGTGTGTGTGTGTGTGTGTGTGTGTGTGTGTGTGCGTGCGCGCATGTGAACTCACACACTCATGTTTGTGTGTACACTGTTTTGACAGTGTGACTTTTATTGCAAGCCAAGGCCTCCTTGTGTAGCTAATGCTAATGTGACTTTTTGAATACAAATCAAGCTGGAACAAATACCTGTTGGTCAAAGTATACCTCTGGGACAACAGAATCTGGATGTCGTTAATATGCAAATGTTCACGCTCTTTCAGTCTGGAGCCTCAGTGACCTGTTGAGGAAAGAACAAAAACAAGTGGAAGTTAAGTCGGCTGCTGTCTGAAACAGAAGGATAAACATAGTAAATATTGTTTTTTTATTTAGAAAGGCTTATAAGAAAAAACTAACAAAAGGACACATTACAATAAAACATGCATAGTGTTATGCTCTGTCATGATATGCATCTGGATTATATTTCCACTTATGTCTCCACATGGAAATCTGGACTGTCACACTCTCCATTTCTGAGCTGGATTTCTATTAAAAATATTTAAGAAAAGATTTGTACATTTACATAACTTCCACATGTGAACTGTAGATGCATTTACACGCAGTGGTGCTAATGCATGTGTCATCCCTCTGGAAGATGGTTAAAATGGGAATGTCAGTGTTTGGGGAACGTAACCCGAAGAAAACCTACACAAACATGGCTAATGCAGAAAATAGCCCTGTTTTTTAATATGACAGTGATAATAATTGAGCTTAAGTGCTTTTCAATATGCAAATTCTTTGTAGATGATGTTGTTCTGCGGCAGAACAGTGATGGGCATTTCCTGTAATGTTGATGACAAGTGCTTCTCAAAAGGGAACCAGAGTGGAGGCTCTAGCAATCATCTGATCCACTGCTAACTCAATTAGCAGGCCATACACTCTCTGTTTATAACCCCAACAGTCTTCATGTAGCAGTGTAACATGCTAATCAATTCTCTGTAGGAGTGTATCCATCTCCCTCAATTACTGTTTGTGGCTTTGGCATCAGAAAATTGTCTCCGCTGTGGGAAGATCCGATCTCTTTGTTCACGCAGAGCACGGTCACCTCTGACAACGCAGTCACACACATCTACTGATGCAATCAAGGACAAAATCCTAGTGGCTCGGACATGTCCATTTTAGGTATCAGGTAGCATCGGCATTACACGCCCATGCTGCGACTCAAGCGATGGATCAGTTGCTGTGCATGAAATTTTAGAACTCCCTTCCCGCCCATATTGATGTAATTGTCACTCCCCGGTGCTCCGTCTCATTTGTCTACAGGCACGCAAAGACGTGCGGCGCCTCGAGTCAACACCATCTTTGGCGTTTGATCGCTCGGTGGGAAATTAGTTTTGAAGTAATCTGCAGAAACACAAGCCATATCAGGCTCGCCACCAAATTTCTAGAAAATCTGCCGTTTAGAAATAAGATTAGCCATAACCAGGTCTACACCCAGACCGGCTCATACCACTGACAACTGATACGCTGCTATACTCAATTAGATGTCATCGAGTCTATCTGAAAACATTTCCAGCTCACTGGCAGTTTTTAAAAACCAATATGCTGTCTGAGAAGTGTCTCTGAAAGTTTCAGACACAACTTTCCCACTTTTGCAATAATTAAATGTGCAAGTCTCAAGAGTGAAAGTTTGTGTGTATGTGTGTTTGTGTGTGTGTGTGTGTGTGTGTGTGTATGTGTGTGTACTTTTAAGCAAAAGTATTGTGTGGTTCTATATTACGAATACACAATTTGTTGCTGGAGGCCGTGCGGTTACAGAGATTGTCGTGTATTCTCCTGTATCCACAAAGTTACAGATACATTATGTGTGTATAACACATTCATCTTAGCAGCTAGTTTAAGAGATTCTTAAAAGAATAGCTCAGCATTTTAAGAAATACTCTTCTTCAAATGTCTGAGAGTGAGATGAGAAGATCGATATTAATCCTGACCTGGAGTCAGGAGGCAATAAGCATTTAGCAAACAACAACGGTGCTCAGAGACTCTCCCAGATCTTAGTGTGAGGCTGCTAAGTATGTCAGAGATTGTACCTATACATTCGCTAATACTAATGTATAGGTACGTTTATGTGTGAAATAATAAAAATGAGACCAAGTGTCTGTGTGTCATGCCTGTGCAGTAAGTTCGAAGCTGGAGTTGGGACGTACGAAGACTCCCAACACATAAATCCCCAAACAAGATGCATCGCACTGATTGGTGAGCCTTAGAGGTGGGTAGGTCGGTGTATTTCTGAACTTTGAACAGAAACTTCCAGTCGCCACCACGTTCTGACTCTAGCTCCTCTGTAGCCTACTCGTGCTACATCCCCACAATGTTGGCAGAACGGGAGGAACAGGAACACATCCTGTTGTTCAGACGTGGGAATTTTCAAGCTTTCTGCCAGCCTTGTTGTCACATCATTTAAATAAATTAGCTAATTTAGCCTGAATTAACTAATTTTGCAGTATTACAGATTTGGAGCCGCTCTTTAACAAGTGAAAGTAGGTACTAACAAACAGTGTACTAATGGCTTCTTCTAAATGAACTGAGTCAATTGTACTAGTCTTACTATCCAAATCACAGACAAAAGACAAATGCAGCATTAACGACAGATGTAAGAGCGGTCTTTATCTTTTCATCTCACTCTGGGGAAAAAATAATAATAAATGAATTTCACAAGATTCAAAGTATTCCTTTAAATGAGAAAAATGTAGCTGTAGTTTTTAGCTTGTGATGCCTGGAGTTAAAACTAAACAGGGTGAAATGGCATTTAGCCACGATGCTGCTGACTGCTGGAACCAGCTCCCAGTGGAGGTGAAATCTGCCCAAACTGTAACTGGCTTTAAAAAGACACTAAAAGCTGCACATTTGCCTTGCATGGCTTAGTTTACCACAAAATAATGGACAAAATGCCTTGATAAGAGGAAACTTCTTTGCAGTGTATTATCCTCAACAGCCAGTGTCTCCATTAAAAGACGCGCATGCATCCTTTTGAAGTGCCCTCGAACAAAAGCCTTCATCTCTACCTGCTCTCCAGTCGCCCTCTCTTACTCGCAGCTGAACTCCCACAAGATGTAAATGTAATGTGTCTGTACGTGAGCAGAGACAGGGGAGTGCAGTGTGTTTTTGTCTGTGCCAAGTCTGAGACAAAACAAACAGTTTCCTGTTTGTCCTTGATTCAGTTTTGGAAAATTATACCCTTGTTGACGTTCCTCTCTTTTTACCTCCAGTGTCGCTCTCCTCCTCCCCTGCTCCATCCTCTTTCCTCCTCTCACTTACTTTTCCTCCCATCTCATCTCTTTTTCTTTTTTCCCCTCTCTGTTTCTCATTGTCTCTTTCTCTTTCTCACTGATAGCCTGGCTGTAACTCAAACTAGTGTGTTATTGATGACTTGCTCTGTGTTTCTGCTGTTCTGGCTTCAGTCCTACACTTGCTTCTTAGGAGCCAAATCTCTGGCACACACACACACACACCACACACACACACACACACACACACGCTCTCGCACACTGTTGGCCTCATCCCAGCCGGGATCAGAGGCCCTGTGCGGCCCCTCCTGTCTCCCTGCTGGCTGCTTGCTGTAATCAGTCATAGTAGAGTGGACACCCCATCCATCACAGAGGCTAAGCTCCCTTCATGGCTCTGGCCCATAACCCACAGCACACCTGTCAACAGCGGCCCACATCTCTGTGTCTGACTTTGCACTGTGTCTTCAAGTGTGAGAATAAAAGTTTAGTTCGTACAGAAGAAAATGAAGGGGTCATTTCAAAATAAAGTTACAGTGAGTTCATCATCCTCCAATCATAAATATGAGGCATCAATCTTGTCTAGTTTGTGCTTTTATTAAATATCAAAGATTAGCCAGTCAGTTTATGTAGTGATAGTATTTTGACATCAAATGTGAAACAGGCATTAGCATTGTGTCTATACTGTTAAAGTTGCCATATCTTTAGATATATGTTGCATCCCTCTCTGAGAGTGTATACGATCTTTTCATTTGTATGTATTGTATGTGTTGTGTGAGCTATGAGGAGAGGGGGATCTGTATATATATATATATATATATATATATATATATATTTATCAAAACATACAGTATATATATATGTTTGTATACTTTATTTAATCAGAAAGTCACACTGAGATAGAGATCTTGTTTTCAAATGAGACCTGAGTACAGAAAATAAAATAAATAACAAAAAGAAACACAATATTAATAGAAGGGATACAAAATGTCAGTGATTTAAGTATAAATTCATATATGTAGCCTATTTATATAAACAACGATCAGAGTGTATATTTTAATGCATTTAAATATCTGCATTCAAATACACAAGCATGTAGTCAATAAGATGACAGATTATACACATAAGTGCATTCTGTAATATTAGGTAAAAATAGATCATGTAAAACAGTTACACCAAAAGTCAGGAAGACTTCTAAGCAAATTTTTTTTTTTTTGAATTGGCCTGTCAGTGTCAACGTGCCAACTCTCAGTCAGCGCTGTGAATTATTCCAGACAAATGGGGCGTGATATCTGAAGGCTGTCCCACCAACATACTGAGCCCTAAAGCAACACAACATCACATAGACAGAAGACATGTATAATAAAACAAAAAAAAAAAGTTGACAACATTTTGACTTTACTCTTGGAATCTACTCGGACAGTGAAAAAGACTGTTTGGATTAGTTTGTTCCCATTTTAGAATTTCGAAACAGCTTCACTTGGACATGAAAGTCGAGACGCACAGAGGTCAAAGAGAAAGAAAAGAGAGTGTGAACCTCTCCAGCAGGTTAATAGTTTGTTTCAGTTTGCTACTGTTTGCTCTGCCCTGCTGTACATCTTCTTTTTTTGACTTTGATTTTTGTTTCTTTGCCTCCGCAGATAGCTGCTCTGCAGAAAGGAGGAGACAGCTTCCCACTCACAGCCGCCTCAGGCAAAGTGCTCGGAAAGGTGCGGCAAAGGACAGACGCACAAAAATAGAAGCAAATAGTTTTCAGATCAGTGTTGTTTTGTTGCTGCTGACTTCAAAGAACACACGCCGTGCTAAAAGTCAAACTCCACAAAATGTGTGTGACGATCACAATCAGGGAGAGAGAGAGTGAGGTGGATGCTGAAAAGTTACCAGAGCTTCTTTGTGTCCAGGCGCTGCGGAGCTCTGACAGGAGCTCTAAGCCGGTGTACGTCTCCGTGGGCCACAAGATCAGTCTGGACACAGCTGTGCGCCTCACACACTCCTGCTGTCGCTACCGAGTTCCCGAGCCCATCAGACAGGTACATGCACACACACACACACACACACACACACACACACACACACACACACACACACTCCCACTACAGAGCTGCTGAAAGGAAGCTTGCCATAGTGAAAAGGCAAATTCAAAAGACTCTGTGATAAGATGTAACAAAAAGTTGAACTCGTCAGCTGTGAGGCAGAGCGCTGTGTTGGAGAGCGAGCAGTGATCATCACTTGTGTAACAGCGTCCTGCTGTGAGGCAGGGAGGTGTGATCATCACGCTGTGTGCGCTCTGCAGCAGAAGGGCCTGGGAGAAATGGAGGGAATAACATATGCAGTCAAATTAGGGATTTCTACCAGAACCAGCGCAGATAACCATGGAAACGGTTTTGGACAATAACATGATGTCAACTGTCAAGAACTGATCCAAGCAACAATGTGAGGATTTTATTTTTCAGCTCCAAAGCAGAAAAACAATCCTTTTTCCTGCCGAGGAGTTTATTGGCTGTATCTGTATCTGTATCTGTATCTGCTGCTGCTGCTGCTGCTGTCATATTTAGATAAACTGTGTGGACAAGTGAAGGTTTCAGTTGATGAATTAGCTTGATTTTTCACACGATTGCAGCGCATATCTATGAGCAAAATGCAAAAAAATCGCCAGTTATACATTTGCCTTGAGTGTTGCTTTGTGTATATCATCCGTCATTGTTTAGGTCCACGTTTCTGCCATGCACAGTCAAATTTAAAAAGCCAACAGGCTGCAGGATAACAGAGCAGGATGATTGATGTTTCAGCAGGTCAGTGACAGTAAGCAGAGAACACAAACAACCGCTGAGCACCTGGTAACTCGGAGGATGGAAGATACAGATAGGTGACAGATTAAAGGAAAAACCTGCATTAATGAGTTTAGAAACATGACAAATGCAGATCCTTCCAAACAAGGCGTGAGGAGCTCACTGATGTTTGATGAGTGTCCACACAGTGGAGTTCAGTCCAGTGGACTGGGAGAGTCGGCTCTGGAGGCTCGTGCTGGACCATCACTTTACTCACACACTGTATGAATCCATTTGAAAGTTTGTGGAATTATTTGAAAATCATATTGCTCTCTGAGATTTAATCATGAGGTTAAAATCCTAAATAAAGTAAGGGAGGCTGAATAAGGCCTAGAAACAGACAAACCCATTCCTCCTTATCTTATATGTGAAGTAACTGAACAGCTGTCCAGAGTGAGTTAGATTGCAAAAATAGAATAAATATGACATAACGTTACATTAGATATGAAAAAACTATGTAGTTCTGAAGTAGAGCAGGTGCGTTTACTCTCATGCACCACTATACCACTTACATGAACAGATGTGTTTGTGGCACATGGTGCAAAACTTACGTTAATTTTAAATTTTTTATCAAAACGTTAATTTTCTCATATTTAGAATTTTCTCTTAGTTATACAAATCTCATGAGTGGTCCAGGCACGTCACAGCTACAGCTAGTTTGCTCTTCCAGCCACAAGGGACTAACAATGATTCAAATTAAAGGCCTAAATTTTGATGAATTCGGAGATTAAACTTGTAGCCAAAATCAGCAAAAAATAAAACTGACTGACTGCCATTGGAAATTTAATATTCTGTCCACTGTTCACAATGGGATGTCCATCATGGTTGCTGGACACAACATGTCTCCTACCTCACTGAGAAGCCCACTCTCAGTGTGTGTGCGCTGGAGGACTTGTGGACTTGTGTATGTTGCACACTGGACCATCGCTGGCTTCCAAACTATTGAACTCCACCAATTTTATTTATCAAAGTATGTGTGCAGCAGAACTACTGCATGTGTGAAAAAAAAGTTGTGTAAAGACTTTTTGTCTCCAGAGGGATCTTTGTAAAAAATTTCAGCAGTGTTGGTTGGTGATGAAAAAAATCTGTGTGGAGTTAGAAAGAAGTGAGCTAACCCAAACTCTGTGGCCTGCTCTCAATTCTGCTTGAGGCTACTAGAAGCTCAAGGCTACATTAGCCACTGCTAGCACAATACACCTGGTGTTGGTGGTTGAGTTGCATTTTGGATAATGTGAGTACCAGGTTTGACAAGGTAGAAGAGTGTGTGGAATAAAAACAATTGTTAGTGTGGTGGAAAAACTATTTTAAACTTAGATTCAAGGATGAATGTGAAAACAGCTGTGAGCGGAGGGTGGATTTTCCTCCTCATGTTCAAACATCACAGAAAAACATACCTAGGTTTAGCAAAGGAATATGGAGTAAAGATGCTGTCCATTCGCTGTGTCCCTACTTTGTCAACAACAATATAGTATTGACCCAGAGATGGTGAATAAGATCACTATGACCTGTTGTCGCCTTCCTCTTTCCAAGTGTAATCTATGGTAAGTGGGTATTGAAAAGTAATTTTACAGCTTTCACGAGACCTGTTAAAGGAGTAATAGCTTTGACAGTATTTTGCATGTTCTTTATAAAAAGTTGAGTCTTAAAACATAAAAAAAAGAAAAACTTGACCTGAACCCGTCCTTCCTCCTCTTCCTCCCTCAGGCTCTTTTCTTCTCTGCCACTAGGCTGTGCTGTGCTTCTGCTTTTACTTCCACTGCACAGAAAACACACACTCATACACATGCACATGCACATGCACACACACACACACACACACACACACACACACACACACACACACACACACACACACACACACACACACACACACACATCTCAAAATCAGTTTTTCACCAAGGGAGCTGCAGTAGCAGCGGCTTACTCATCCCCTCCTGTGTGTGTGTTTATTTCATCAAAGTGTGGTGCGATGTGTTTAGCTGGTGGGAGGAGGAGGAGGAGGAAGAGGAGGAGGACGAAGCAGCAGGGACTGAATATGGACAGGGACACTCACCTTCCTCTGTCCAATCACTGACACCTCTCTCTTTATCTTTCTCTCTGTCCAACTCTTTTCCTTTTCTCCGACGTCCACATTCCCTCTTCACTCTTTCGCCCTTGTCTTCTCTGTCTGTCTCTGTCTGTCCCACAGATCTTTCCTATTCTCTTTATTGCTGACATCACAGAAAAAAACTCCTCACAGATCCAGTTCTGGTGAGTGTCATGTTCGGAGCTGAACTCTGCGTTTACGTCGCTCTTTCGCGGGCAGAGCGAGATCCGTGTCCCTCTGGCCTTTTGAAACCTCAATCACAACTCGTGGAGAAAAATTTTGAAAAAGCTGTCGATCTGACAGGAAGACTCTGTGAATTACGTAACAGTCGTCTTTTTGAAGTTTGAACACAGCAGAAAACAAGCTGCGGTATCCTCCCCTCTGTCCAGACACTCGCCGTGAACAACAACAGGAACAGGCCAGACAGGTCAAATTATAGATGCGCGAATACATAATATTGTCACATCTCTCTGTCGGTTGTACACACACACACACACACACACAAATACACTTGTACACACTTGGCCAGACTCAGCAGCTAAAGGTTGCCAGGGTGTCTGTGGCAGACATTGTGTTGCGGTTTGTATCTAGTTGTGGTTCACTGCCGGGACACACACACACACACACACACACACAGAGCAGCGGTGGGGTTTGTCAGATAAGGGCACAGCTGACACATCAGACTATGAAAAAGTACAAAACAAAAACACAAACACTCGTCTTGTTAATGTCCACAGACCGTCATCAGGTAATTCATACAGTGTGTTTCTATATATGGTATATGTATGTGGTTTGTCTATATGGTTTTTACCTGATGGTGAAGGTTCAAAGATGAAATGTGAGAACCAGTACCAGAGTTTATTCATGTTAAATTATCAATAACGTGGAAGAAAGCAGCAAAATTTCATGTTTGACAAAGTAGGAAAATAAGAGAAAAGGGAGAAAAACATATTAATCCTTTAAAAATCTTTTTTCATTCATCAGTGCTCAACTAATCATAATAATTATCTAAATCCAAAGTAATTATTTCAGATGAGGCTGTCTTAATATTCTACCATGGTGGACATTTATTAAATTTCAGTTGAAAAATGAGCAAAATCCAATTAGATATTGTAGAAGGTTTTGGATTAGCACATGGTGTCAGGTGTTACTTACAGTTTTAATAATCATGACTGACAAAGGTAAAGTGTCACAGCAGCTGGGTGTTCACCTCTATGAATTAACCCTTCACTCTGCCGTGTGTTCTCCCCTCATCCTCCGCCCCCTCCTCCTCACCATCTAATAAGATCCTCTCACCTTACATCATGAGTCAAGTAAACCCCTCCTTCCACAGCCTGAGAGATTCAGAGAGAGGAAGATGAAAGGGAGAGATGACATCATGGTTGGATTCTGCGGAGAAGGCTGATGTGTGAATGCACTGCAGCAGAATCCTATGTACCACAATGGAAAAACTGAAACACACACACACACACACACACACACACACAAACGCAGAGTGAGAGAGAGAGGAGCTCAGACTAATTCGCGCCCCATCTCTGCCTTGCTTCCTAACACCATTAAATTCTCACACTCCTTCTGTGTCCCACGCTTCACTTGATAAAGCCTAAGAGAGCATGTGATGGGAAGTAGAAGGCGAGCAGATACCTGACTCTTTTATTTTACTCCGCGGTCACTGTGACAGTGAGCGAGGTTAGAGGGAGGGAGCTGACACATCAGGGGGATGTGTCATCAGTGACCCGAACACAAATCACAAGTCTAATCCCTGTACAGGTATTTACCTGGTTTTGGTTCATTGTCTCAGAGTCATCTGGTGTTTGTCTTGGCCTGCTGCCGTCATCTGAGGTGGAACTGACTCCTGTGTTGATGTATTAATTCTGATCAGAAGAGTTGACTTCAAGCTTAAAGCAGTGTTACCATACATTACCTCATATTGGCAGATTTAACTACAAGCCCCAAATGAGAAAAGCTGCAGGACAATTGATGAAATAAGGCTCAGTTGTTCTTGAGTTGCAGGAACAAACAACACAGAATACATGTATTGTTAAATCTGTTCAAGGGATTAATGTCTGTGCACTTTTGACTTTTAATTTATTAAGGTGCTCTTGTCTAAGCTCAG